TGCGCTCTCCTGGCAACCCTCTTTATGGCCCTCAACATCGTCATTATGAGAAAATGTTCAGAAATACACTATTCCATCATAGTTCTGAATTTATCAAGTTGGTCATTTGTCTCTGCAGTGTTCTTTTACTTCGTGGTATCTGATGGTTATGAGCACAAGTTCAAATTGCCGTTTGATTGGTTCGTTTGGGGCCAAATCCTTTTGGTGGCGTTCACCGGCCTCATGGGACAGGTGCTGGTGACGAAAGCGTTGAAGATCGAAAGCGCGGGTAAAGTGTCTGTTACTAGATCCCTGGATATTATCTTGGCGTATGTAATTCAGGTATACCTCTTTGGCGAGAAGCCCACGTCGACTAGTGTAACTGGCGCGATCCTTATTATTTTCTCTGTCATTTGTATGGGTTTCGAGAAAGAGATATATTCTATTTGTGATTTTATTCCCTAATCAATTAACAGCTAATATCGCGAATAATCATTCCCGATACTGCAAAACCGAACTACGTTAAACATACTACATTAAACATAACTGTTTAATCAGATCCTGTTTTATAAAAACGCAGTTATATAAAAACAGGTAAATTCTAAAAATTCTAAAAAATTTAATTATTATTGTTCATCTTTATTCTCTTATGCGATAACTACTATTTTAAGAGACTCAGAATATTAATCCCTTATATCTCCTGTAATAGTTGTTTCGAGAGATTAAGAGAATAATATATCTTTATTAAAAATTGATATATACTATATTAAACCTGTTCTTTTATAAAATAAATTAGAATTTAAGATATATTAAGGTAAATTAGAAAGATTATTTTATATGACCAAATTTTTTTGAAAAATAATAAATCAATAAATATTAATAAAAATAATACGCGGTTTGTCCTGAAAATTGCCTCAAAATCGTATAAAAATATATAATTGATTTTTGAAATCGACTTTATTGTTTCTCAAAATATTTTTCGTTATAATTAATACGCCTTTCCATTCGACGAAACTAATCGTCAAAGCATTGTGTTCATCTTTCTGGAAGTACTTCAGACACTAGATTTTCGAACGCTTCCACCATCGCATCTGCCGTATTAAACTTCATACCACACATATTATCCTTGATACACGGAAACAGGACGAAGTCATAGATCGCCAGATCGGGATTATAAGGCGGATAAGTCATGAATTTTACACGAACAGTGGTCTAAAACTCAGTTGTCTTCTCTGCGTGTGCGACGATGCATTGTCTTGGTTCAAGATGATGTGCGATCTTGGTCGATTTTGTTGAATTTTTCACACACAATCGGTAGGCAAATTGTTACATATTATTCAACATTACCGTACGACGATTTGAAAGCGCAACAGACATAACAAGATCGGTTTTCTTGAAGAGCGGTAAAAGTAAATAATAAAAGGAGGTTTAAGCATATATTATAAGTAATAATTATATATATATATGATTTCGGCCGACGGACGAATGAAAGTACACGAGTCAACAAAAGCAGGCATCTCAATTGGGCGGGTTCACTTCATTTTGCATAATGAATGACACATGAAAGAACTTAGCACAAGATGGATGCCGCGTTTGCTCACATCAGAGCAAAAACGAATTCGCATGCGAACATCAGCCGACTGTTTGCAAATGTTTAAGAAGAATGGAACGGATTTTTTGGCGTTTTGTAATCATGGATGAAACTTGGATTCAACACTATATCCCGGAAACGAAACAACAATCGAAAGAGTGGACCGCACGGGGCGCCTCCGAAAAAGGCGAAATGCGTTCTATCTGCTGCAAAGATGATGGCGTCAGTTTTTTGGATTTGCAAAAGAAATTCTCCCGATTGACTACCTCGAGAAGAGGAAAACCATTATTTCAGAATACTATGCATCACTTTTGGACCGATTAAAGGCAGCGATCGCGAAGAAATATTCAGGAATCGCCGGAAAAGGTGTGTTGTTCCACTATAACAACGCATTGACACATTCAAGCCGTCTCGTTGAACAAAAATTGACCGAACTGCGATTTGAACTGCTTCCGCATCTAGCCTATTTATTCGATTTAGTTCCCTCGGATTACCATCTATTCCTGAATCTCAAAATTTTCCTGGTTGAACAAAAATTTGGGTCGAATGAAGAAATCATACAAGAAGTAAACGAGTATTTTGAGGGCCTCGAAGAAATTTTTTTCGCGAAAAAATCGCGAACCTGGAGAAACGTTGGGACAAGTGCGTTGAACTTTCTTGGGGGCTATATTGAAAAATAAACTACGATACAAAACTCAAATTGTTGTCTTTAATATCAAACCAAGTTACTTATCAAACTTACCACACTTATATGGTATAACCGTACATGTTACATATTATTATAAATACGAAAAGAGTTTTTTTATTTCGGCAAAATCAGCAATTTTTGGTAAAATCGGAAATTCTTGTTACAGTAAAAAATAAAAAATTGCAGTTTCATTAAAATTAGTAATAAAATTAGAATTTAGATATGATATTAATTATGTATTAAATATAATGACATGATGATATAGATAAATTGAATATGGCACTTTACTCGGCTAAATAACTGCCACAATCTTGTAATTTACCAAATTCAACAAAAATCACTTATAAACAATTATAATAAAATTAACCTCCGACAATAGAAAAGACAACTACCTTAACTATCTTAACAATTAACTTGCGGTGTACGGAGAAAAAGCCAGCAGTCTGTTTGTGAATTAACTTTCTTTGAAACACTTCGTAGCAGTTCATCGCAGGTTACACTGGAACAGTTCTTTTCACCAACAAAATTAGACAGCGTGAGGTTTGATATCTTCGAAATTTGCTGCTCTGCGCTGACCGGCGGAACACTATAAGATAATTGCCACTTCGCTAAACAAAGCTGGCTAGAAGGAAACTTGTAGTCTCTCTTCTTTACGATAAACAGAATAGCAAAGATAGTATCGTCTTGCTATGAACTGTCGCGACATTCCTACATCAAGTCTTTCATTTGCATTTTATAATAGGACAATTAGAATTTTCTGTTGTTGTTCGCCGAAAAACACCGACGATAAATTGCATACGTTTCCTTCTGCCGATATTCTCAGCTATCGAACAAAGCAAGATGCCTTCGTTTGCCGACTGACCGCATGTCATACATTAACTATAGGCAAGAAGACACGCAGCTTTTCGAGAGGTGTAACGAAAGCCATAGATCTATAATTGACTGTGCGAACGATCTCTCAATTATGATAAAAGAGGTCTGCGAGTTTACTACAAGTGGAAGAGAATACACACGACAACCACAGAGAACATAGAACTGAGGCGAAAACGTGCAAGGCTCTAATATTGTCCGCGTATGTCCGTGTGTTAAATGCGTTCTAATGCGTTGAGTCGAGTGAAATTGATGTAGAAAACACGAGCGACGGGAATCTCAATTGCTCAATCTGACGGGGAGAATTTTCTTCTGAAAGAAGCGTTACTGCGGACATGGACTTCCGAAACGTCAACCCACTGAACATTCGCACGAACTTAATCTCAGGCAATTTGCTACCCTTAGAACCGGGCGATTCGCGATTTTCAATCGGCTGGAAGTTATTTGCCGTCTTAATGTGGCTGGTTCAAGTGATACAGGTAATCGTGCTGATCCCTGGTTTCTTCGTAGTGTCGCGTGAGAAGGCTCTGGTTGACGGCACGATGAACGCCGTGCTCTCCATCGAGGTGTTCTTCAATATTGGATGGATTCACGCGCACCGAAAACTGGTAGACCAACTGATCCAGCAGGTAAACAACATCCTATGCAATGAGGATGAAATGATGAAGAGCATCGTGATGAGCACCCTGCAGCCCATAAAGGCACCACTCAGGTTTTACTGGGTGGTAGGTGGATTATGCGTCCTCCTGTGGAGCTGCATACCGCTCCCGCTGATTTTTAAAAAAGTGTCCTTCCGTTACGAGGATTACAGGATGCCGGCGGTCTTCTCCAAGCAGCCATTCTCGCTCAGCATCTTCCTGATGGGCAGCATCTTCATGATAATTGGTAACACTTATGTTTTTCTAAAAAAAGGCGGCATGGACATTTACATGATACACTTTGTGCTATTGATAACGGCGCAATATCGTTATATCGCCACAAAGCTCACCGCGATATTTCGAAATGCAATTTTGCAAAGTGATTTGGAACAATGTCGTCCCGATCAATGGGTAAATAAAGAGATAAAAGCATTGTGCCGACACTACACTTCCGTCTTACGGTAAGTAGTGAAAATAACTTTGTTCAAATTTGTTTGTGTTCAGAAGATGGAAAGATACGAATTAGTGACTTAATTTTAACAAATTTGTTTCTAATGTTCGCCTATGCTCCTATGCATTTTTTCGTATGATTGCCAACATATGCAATTGCGCTATTTCAGTTCACATATGGAAAATGACAGTAAACACTATCGCTAACAATTTTTTTAATTTTTGTACAAAATTTTTTTAATCAAATTCCAAATTAAATATTGTACGCTCTCAAATTAAAAATGTGTGCTCAATTATATCTTAATTAGACATATTGGAGCTTTGTTTCAGCTTATCGTCTCTGCTAAAGCAATTGCTATCTTTGAGCTTCAGCATGATTTATGTGAACAGCGTCTTACGGTTTTGTTTTATCGGTGTTATGTTGAGCACGGTGAATAATACAATTAACACTAATCATCCTAGGAATGTATACAAGCAATTACTTCTGACGGTGTATCTAATTTTTTCCATGCGAATTGCATAAATTGTTATTTGTACAAATTGTATACTTATGGATAATAAGTTTTGTACGCATATCCACAGATACCATCAACTACTTTCCTGGAAGGTTTTCTGATTTTCATATATACGTGCGGTTCGATAGTCCAATTCTACGTATTATGTTTTTGCATGCAACAATTACAGGATGCGGTAAGCTTTCATACGGTTTGCTTTTCTCGAGCACAATTACCCTCATCGACCGTAGTTGTTTTAGTTTCAAACTAATTTGATATTTCCCGACATACCGCGATAGGAAAATTGTTGTTAAGTTGTTATAAATATTTTATTACTTTTCAATTATTTAGAGCAAAAATATGACCAATGAAGCGTTCCATGAAAACTGGTATCGATTCGGTTCGTCCATAAAACGTACTTTAATGCTGATGATATTGGGTACTAATTTAGATTGCAAAATCTCGACTAACGATAAATTAAATCTGTCTCTGACTTCGTTCATGTCGGTAAGAATTTAATTTACGTGTAATACTTAATATTTTACGTCTGTCTTGATAAATGTTTTGGCGGTCTTCCAGATTTTAAACCAATCCTACTCGATTCTCCTTGTGCTCTTATAAACAAGAGGAACAACAAAGTACATCTCGTAGATTCCTTATATACGATCTTTATTAAATGAAATCTTTGTATCGCAAATTGAGAATAGCAGTAGATTTATGAATATATATATATATATATATATAATTTAATAGTAATATTTATTATTTAAAAATTTTCAAATATTATTGTGATTTTAAAATCACTAAACCATAGTATTGAGAAATATATATAATTGTCGATATTAAATTAAATATATTATGTTAAATTAAACATAAAAATTACATTTTTACATGCGATATTTGTGTCACGTTCTTATAATTTTTTATATTCTAATTTATCGAAAGATCTTTTATGCTTAATTTCAATGATTGGATAAAAACCGATGTGTTCAACTTGATATGACCACTTACTCCAAAGATCTTTCGTGAAAATATAATTTACATGCTCCCGGCAATAAAGATAACAGCCAAATCTTAAGCCTTAATCCTGCTATATACGAAGTAACTGCCATTAGTTCAAATGCAAATAATAAAAGCAGTTTTGAAGTAGCTTCCAGAATGATTATTAAATCTAGCGCCTGTTTAAAAGAGTGTTTCCTAAAACGATTTCCTGTTAGAACGATATAGGGAAAAATAGATTATAACGGAGCACAGTCATTGGCGCATTTATTGAAGCTCTTCACCAATCTACTGTCTAGAGTGCCGGACTTATCGTAATAGTATATCCCTGAAAGATGGAGATGTTACATTAGGTCTGTTCGTTTTCGCTGCACCGCTAAGCTAGTGTAATAAGTTGAAGCGAGACAAGTATATGTTTATATATGTTTTCTTACTTCAACTTAATGCCCTAGTTCAGCGGTGCAGCAAAAACGAACAGACCTATTGTTGCAATAAGAATTGCAGTCGACTAGTAATTAATACAGAACTATTTATATGAAAGGTAAGGTTCACTTGATGATACAAGCGCTTTGGAGCGCCATGTGGACCATTGTTACGTCAAATGGACACTAGCTAGTTCATATATGAAACTAATCGCACGAATTCACGTGGTCTGTTCTTTATAATTAAACTGGCTGCACTAGTTCAAAAAATTTGCATACGCATTGAAATGTATTATGCGTACATATAAGATTCTCATGCTTTAATGTGCGTAATTTTCTCAATCTAGTGCATCTAATTCATTAAATAACTAGTGAATTTAATTATAAAGAACCAACTAAATGATCAGTTATCTATATCTTCTATTTAGGGTGCGTTCGGGGAAACACTATTAGCACTATAAATGTAAATATTACTAATGTTGTTCGTAGAGCCAATAGTACGAAAGCGTTCGCAAACTTCATGAACGACGTTGGCGTAGCATTAGCATTTGGTCTGTTCTTTTTAACGCTGCATTGCTGAACTGGTGCAATAGGATAGAATGAGACAAATATATTTTGGTCAGTTCAGCAGTGCGGCAAAAAAAGCAGACCAATTACTACGTTGTACCATTATTTTGCATTTTCTTCAAGTTAAGTTAAACTATTTTTAGATTAGGTCGAATATCGTAGTTTAAACTCGTCTTCACTTCCAACATACCGAAGCTTTATTTCTATGTAACTGTTCGTTACGTACGGGAATAATAATAAAGTAATGAATACGACGTGTTGTACGATATTTATGTGCAAAAGCTATGACATACAATGTTGTACAGTTTTGGGTGTTTACGGAGTTTGCAAACGCTAACGCTATCATTACATTACCTCGGAAGAAATAGTGTTTGTAGCGTGCAGTTGACGTGCACACTACCACTAGTGATGTCATGATCGCGTTTGTTAGCACTATCCTTTAACTTCTCGAACAGCCTTTAGCGCTTAATTAGCGCTAGTAGCGTCTTCTTGAACACACCTTTAAGGATGTTTTCGATTTGCTGATTCGACTCGGGCAGCGTTCCGCTAATCACTGCAGTATTGTAAACTATAGTATACGTAACTTGAAATATAGGTTGCAATACTGTAAAGCCCGTATCAGATTATGGATTGAAGATTGAGCTTAAATTAAAATTTGACCAATCAATGTGGAATTAATTAAATTTTATTAAACCTTGAATTCAATTAACTTTACACTGATTGGCTAAATTCAATTCAATTTCAATCCCCAATCCTTGGTCTGATACGGGCTTAAAGATTACTGTTTGGCAACGCTGGCTGAGTCGGGTCGAGTTAGCGAATCGAAACGCCACATGATCGTCGCAAATTTTTCTTTAGATGCTATACGGTTCACTTCATTGGCTATAAAGTATTGAAAATGAATTTAAGACTTTTATATATGTATGACTCAACTGAATACTGGCCCATATGGTCAGTTTTCAGTGAAAACTAGACCAACCGACAACTAATTCATGGTCTGTTCTTTTCAGCTCACTGCTGAACTGGTGCGATAAGTTAAAACGAGACAAATGGTCTATTCTTGTTAGGTTTACTACTGAATTGATGCAATAAGTTAAAATTTGGCAAGTATATTTTGCTCGTTCTAATTTATAGCACTAGTTCAGCTAAAAGGAACAAACCGCGTATGTGCGACCACTGCGCTATGCGGCGCTGCAGGTATCGCATAGCTCGGATCGATCGCGTCAAGCGTCGATGTATTTTTTAGATGAATTTATCGGCGATCACGTTGCGAAGAAAGAGTTTCATTCGCATCGTTTCAATTGTCGAGGTAGGCGGAAACATCTTGTTTTGTATACGGACACGGAATTCGTGATTGAGCGCCTTGTTCAACGTGCGCATGCCAAAATTTGTCTTGGTACGAGTTCTTTTCTTTTCAGCGCGAATACTTTAAATCGACTAACGATCAGCGCCGCACGCAGAAGCGACGTTGCCAAACGTACATATCTTCATTTTCCATAGGTGTACCTCGCGCGCGCGTGCGAATTAATAGCCTCGTCAGTGTGTCGTCGTCGTTGTCGCAGTCGCTATAGTTCGTTGTGATGGTGAGTACACGTGCTCGAGCAATCAATCTGCTTTGAAGAGGAAGAAAACACCTCTAAACAAAGTCGTCATTATTCGATCGCTTGGCCAACTAGCGACAAGGTGCTTATTCGCTGCGAAGTATAAAAGGACACCTGAAATTTTGGATTCGTCCGCACAAATGGTAATGAACTGTTAGAATACAATCGAGATATTTTTCGAAATTTTTATTTCGGAGAGCAGCGTTCCCCTTTTCCTCCGATGGCAGAAATCACCTTCGTTAATTCATAATGCTCGTTCAATTCGTAATGAATAATTGCAACTGTGGTAATTCATATAGCCCAATTCATCGCGATCTATGTATTAGAGCGCGAATAAGCGTTTAAAAAGTCATATGATGAGACTGCCACGACATTGCCTAGTTACAGAAACTTTTCGCCGTCGCGGTAACCAGACGCCTCGATGAGTTACCATTTGTCGCGTTCGCGTTTTCTAGTGGCGTGTCGAATAGTTACCGAGCGCGAAGAAAACTCCACACTCGGTCATTTCTTCACACGGAATCGCTGATCGCGAAAATGGGAAGACAACGCGTGCATTTTTTGGTCTCGCGCGGTCCTGCGTACGTGCCTTTAGGCCACCGTCGTCGCGGATCTGGCAACAGCGTGCGTCCGCCAGCGCCCTGCCGCGGCGGCGCTGTGCAACCCGAGCGGGCGCGTGTGTTTTTGTATTCGCATCGTTATGCTTCGTGGGCCGGGGCGACGACGGCGGGGAATGCCAATATGGTGGCAACCGTGCGACCGAGCAAACGCGCTCCCGAGGTCTACTTAGCGGATTAACCGACGACTTCGTGAGATGGACTGGCCCGGTTGACGCCAAAGTACGACGCGTCGATTTCTTAGCTCGCACACCACGGAACGTCGAACGATAGTCGGCGATGTACGCCTGACGCGACACGCTCTTGTCGTCTCGTGAAACCGGGCCGAAAAAAAACATAGCGCTCTGTGCGTGGTAGAGAGAGAGAGAAAAAGAAAGAGAGAGAGAGGGAGGAAAAAAAAGAACTCGAGGTTCGGGCTCGTTGCGCACGCTGTCATTGGCAATACTTGGCTAACGTGCCCTTTTCGTAGCTCCCGATATCAGACCATCGTCGTCGCCTTCGTCGCCACTGCCGCACGTCGTGACGGGACTCGCGGTGCTTGGTTTGTCATGGTGGGTTTTCATTCTTTATTCATAGAGAAAGAAAGAGAATAGGTTACGGAGATGCGTCTTTATCCAAAGTCCAGGGCACGCGCTTCCCAGCGGAGGCGCGTATTTCACTGTGTCCGTTCGCCTCGTTCGCACGAGGAAACGACTAACCTAAGAGTGTGCGACGTGCGTCCCTTGAGGAAGTAACGATTCGCGTCTCCTGTCACGCTTTCTACGGTTTCTCGCGTCGTGCTTGGTGTTTCGAATGATCTCATCCATTCGGACGAATACGACTGATATTCTTCGTTATTTTAATCTCGTTACGCGTTTGCCTAACAAACGTATCTGTACGAAGATATTTCCGCTCTTAAACGCGATAGAGTACTAGTTGATCTTTTACCGTTCATGATTCATGCATCTATCTTCTAATTTAGAGATCTGATAAATTCATCGGTATAGTTTTGTTCTATAATCATATTTGCAGGTAAATTGTACAGGTTGAGGCAATAACTATTATTATTTTGAACATCTTGGAAAAATAAAGATATTTTATTAGCAACTGGATGTAAAGTTGGAAAAGGTTTGCATTTGTAGGAAGTGTTCGAAAGTGATTGGTATCGATATAATTTGTTAAATATTTTTCTTGTAAAAGATGTCCAAAGTAGTAATATATATGTATACACACACACATACACACACCCAAGTATATTACTTCATTTTGTATATTGTCCCAATTTTGTATTTATCACATAAAATTTTTCCCGATGTTTCTTTGCAGGCAACAAAAAAATATGAAGATGGAATGAGTGATGATACAAGTGGGAGTGATTTTGATGATGAAGAAGATCCTGATAAAATTGAAGTACCTGGTAAATTATAATGTTATACCTTACATGTAATATATATACATATATGTGTGTACATTATTTTATTGTTGGAAGATCTTATTAGGAATTGTGACTTGGCGCAAAATGATATAATTCTTCATGTGTCATCTATTAAGACCATGTTCTTTTTGTCTGTTGAAAAATCTAATCGGAATAACAATTTTTTTCTAGGCGGGGGTAAAGATCTTGCAACTGCTGCAGGAATTGCAAACATCAAAGATGAAAAGCCAGATTTATCTACAAATTCTTTGACAAAAACTCAAGGAGCATTAAATGGTAAATTTATAGAATTTCATTTATAGTTATAGAATTCTATTAAGTTATAAAATTCCATAGGCTGCATAAATATTCCTCTTTTTTTTTTTTGTTTCTTGGCAGTATGTCCTGAAAAATATATTCTCTGCAAATTATTTTCAGTACTAAATCAAAAGTTTGGTAATAAAATTCCTGGAGGATTAGTAACTAAACCTACAGGCTTAGGTTACGATATGGTACGTGGTGTAGGAGGATCACAAGGGGTTCCACCAAATTTTGTTGGCGCAAATCAACTGAATCAGTTGAGTCAATTAGCTAGTGGTTATGGATTCCCACCGGGATTAACTACTCTTGGTTTAAATCCTGCTTTTTTTCAACCAAGTAAGTCCACTTTTTCAGTACACTGAAGAATTTTTCCAGAAAACTGAGGTTCTTTTCCTCTAATTTATTTTTCATACTTTCATTTGCATTCATTTGCAAGAAAGTATGCGTGATTATTACCTGTGCACCTGTATATATATATGCATACCTATGCATCTATATGTTGCTGATAAATTATCAAACGTTCAAAATTATATTTCTAATTATTTAGGCGATATTATACTCTTATCTATAAAGATCAATTTATACAATATGAAATTAGTATAAGAGCATGAGAGAAGTGGAAATAATATCTATAGACTGTGATATTCTCACACACACACACACATACACACATATATATATGTTATTTTTTATAAAACCGATTTTTCCTTAGATATGGATATGAACACCATAGTGGGTAATTTTATGAATGTACCGGGAATGGGAATTAATCCCTTTGTCCAGTTCCTTCAAAGCGGAATTGCTGGCCCAAATTGGTCTGGGCTTTCAGGTATTTACAATTACCTAATATGACCCTGAATTTGGGCGAGCTGTACTCACTACAAGCGAATTCACAAGCTTTACTCTGAATTCTCTAATAGGTAAAACTGTGTCACATATGTGGAACACAGGCGATCCTACCAAATTGATGCAACCAGCCATACCGGAGGAGGAGGAAGTAGACGATGAAGATATGGGTGTCGCCGAGACTTACGCCGATTATATGCCGATGAAACGTACGATCAATGTTCATTTCAATTTGGAGTATTCGCTCTCAGCTAAGATTTGCGATAATTTACAGTGAAACTCGGACGAAAGCATCCGGACCCAGTGGTCGAAACGGCATCGTTGTCGAGCGTGGAGCCGACGGACGTTTGGTACAAACTTTCCATACCGGAGGAAACAATACGTTCCGGCTCGCTTTCCGCGCTCCAACTTGAATCCATCACGTACGCATCCCAGCAACACGAACACCTGCTGCCTGACAATACGCGCGCCGGATTTCTAATCGGCGACGGCGCGGGTGTCGGCAAGGGTAGGACTATAGCAGGAATCATTTTCGAGAACTATCTGAAAAGCCGTAAACGTGCCATCTGGGTGTCGGTGTCGAACGATCTCAAGTATGATGCGGAACGTGATTTAAACGACATAGGCGCGTCCAAAATCGAGGTACACAGCTTTGCTTCAAATATATCGCGCCGATATTGTTAGCGTTCGAGTAACGTGAAAACTTCAATCTCGCCCGCTTACTGTGAACGCTGAATCGCTCGATGCTTTCAAAATTGCGTGTGAATAACTACGGGACTGCGGGAGCGCTTATGGCTAATTCGCTCGATTCGCAGGTACACGCCTTGAACAAATTCAAATACGCCAAGATCTCATCGGGTGTGAATGGCAACGTGAAGAAAGGCGTGATCTTCAGCACGTATTCCGCCTTGATCGGCGAATCTTCGCAGAGCGGTGGGAAATACAAGAGTCGGTTGAAACAGTTGCTGCAGTGGTGCGGCGAAGACTTCGACGGTCTGATCATTTTTGACGAATGCCACAGGGCAAAGAATTTATGTCCTACCGGCAGTTCGAAACCCACGAAAACAGGTGAAGCAGAATTGCGTAAGAAATTGTTTCGAATATGCACAGCTGGTTTATTTATAAACGTGAAACTTTCGCAGGCTTGACGGTTTTGGAATTGCAAAACAAACTTCCGAAGGCCAGAGTTATTTACGCCAGTGCCACTGGCGCCTCCGAGCCTCGCAACATGGCCTACATGGTGCGACTAGGCATGTGGGGCGAGGGCACCCCTTTCCCCGAGTTCAACGACTTCATCACCGCCGTGGAGAAGCGTGGCGTCGGCGCGATGGAAATCGTGGCGATGGATATGAAGCTGCGTGGTATGTACATCGCTCGGCAATTAAGTTTCCACGGTGTGGCCTTCAAGATCGAGGAAGTGCCTCTTTCGAAGGATTTCACAAAGATTTACGACCAGTCGGTGCAGTTGGTAAGTTAACACGAGATAGAAGATGAACTTTTCTATGCGCTTGAGAGCAGCACCTTCGGTGTATTTTAATCGGTCCCGGTTTTTTCTAGTGGGTAGAAGCGATGCAGAGGTTCCAGGAAGCGGCGGAATTGATAGACGCAGAGAATCGTATGAAGAAAACGATGTGGGGCCAATTCTGGTCGTCGCATCAGCGGTTCTTCAAATACCTTTGCATCGCCGCGAAGGTGAAGCACGCGGTTTTGGTGGCTCGAGAAGCCGTAAAGTGCGGTAAATGCGTGGTCATCGGTTTACAGTCTACGGGCGAAGCGCGCACTTTGGAGCAGCTAGAGCGCGACGATGGTGAACTCTCGGACTTCGTTTCAACCGCAAAGTCAGTGTAACCTTGCGAAAGTAGCGAGCATGTCACGTGTATCATCGCTAATGACACACCTCGCTGCATTCCAGGGGCGTTCTTCAATCGTTAGTAGAGAAACACTTTCCTGCACCCGATCGCAATCGCATTCAACGCCTTCTCGGGCTAGAGCCACCGAAATTCAGATTAGAAGACGATGAAATGGATGGCGCGAGTGGTTCTGCGGGGGGCAGCAAGAGGAAACCAGTACGTCAGGCGGCACAACGTGCGTCGAAAAAGGTGCGCGCTTGGTCGTCGGAGGAGGAGATAACGGACGAGGAGAGGAACGGCGCTCACAGTTCCGGCTCCGAATTCAAATTGACCGGCAGCGAAAGCGAAGACGACCATCACACAGACGAGGAAAGCAATATCAGTTCGGATTTCAATCCCTTTTTCAGTGACAGCGATTCTGATGTTGGTAGGTTCTGATTTTGTGAAACTATTTTGTTTTTCAGTCTATCTGTCATTATTATCATAATCTTTTTTTAACCTAATCAAAATTTTTATCGAGCGCAACCGACTTAAGCATTTAACATATTAGGTCACTTTTAGATGTCTATCTAAAATAGTGACTATGAAACGTCGGGCACCAACGTTGGGACAGGAGGTTAAGAAAAATCGAATCGTTCTTTCATTTCTTTATTTTGCTTTTAGATCCCTGGGACAGGCGAAAGAAGAAAGGTAGCAAGAAGCAAAAGAAACCCGTTAAGAAACGTATGAGCACTCAGGACAAAATTCAGTCGATGCTGGTGCACAAATCCTCCACTAATAGGAATAAACGTAATGGCGACGCAGCCATGGGTGGGCACATGAATAACATGAGAAGTATTACTCATCCACCTCCCAGGGATGCCATTGAAAGGGCTTGTAGTATGAAAGAGGAATTATTAGCCAAAATAGAAGGTCTTGGCGAACGATTGCCGCCAAACACATTAGATCAGCTAATAGACGAGCTCGGCGGCCCGGAAAACGTTGCGGAAATGACGGGTAGAAAGGGTCGCGTCGTGCAAACGGAAGACGGTGCAATACAATACGAATCCAGGTCAGAAGTGGATGTTCCTTTAGAAACCCTCAATTTGACAGAGAAGCAAAGGTATTTATTAATTATGTTACACAAATTTGACTAAGTCTAAAGTAATTTTAACCTTTTGCGTTTCAAATGATTTTCGATTTTTCTTTTTAACCGATCCGTAAAAAATTCATTTATCTCGCGACAATATCGTATAATCGGCATTTCTTTCAATATTTCAGTATTGATGCAATTGACATTTACAGCAATATATTTATATTGAACATATAAGTCAGGTTTAGGTAATAATTAGTTAATCAATTATTAAAAGTTAAGTTAAGAAATTAATAACTTTCAACTCGGTTAATTTTAACTAGCTATTTTTTTAAATCCATTAACTTAAACTTATTAACTTTTTTATACTTCTCAAGTTAAAATAATTTATCAATATTAAAATCACCATGGAGCTGCTTATGATATAGAGTAAAAAAAATTAATAATGTGCTAGCAGAATTTTTTTGTGAATTGTGAATTTTCTTTCTGATTGCTCTATACTGTTCTTCTTTTTTTTTTTCTTACATAAAATCTTGAGCACAAAGCAGTTGATATTTTCTTACATGTGTAGACTGTCTTTTTATTATTTTATATTTTAATTTACGATCAAAAAGTTAATTATGCAAAAAACATACATTTTGTATAATTAACTTTTTTTTTTTACTTGAATAAGTTAACTTTGCCTAACCAGAGCCAGAAAATTTTCATACGCTCGTAGCTCCTCTTCCGTGGTCTGGCAAACCCCGAGAGTATTCATGCCAAGAAAACCCCTCTCTCGTATGCATGCATATAATCTGTGTGCGCACCACATGCATATGCGTGAGAGGGAGGGGTGAGGTAAGCCTAGGTCCGACTTTGGGCTGTAGTGTCATTGATGATGATAACAATTATTCAATCCTACTATCCTAATGAATAAAAAGTTGGTTTATAAAATCGACTAAAACAGAACGCGATATCGAAACCTAAAATCTACAAAAAGTTCACATAGTAAAGTATCCGATTGAGATTAGAGATCGATTGGATGTTAATGCTCTTAATCTTAACTATCTTTGTTATGTATGTCAGGTTTATGGACGGAGAAAAAACCGTAGCGATTATCTCAGAGGCGGCCAGCAGCGGTATATCGTTACAAAGCGACAGGCGAGCAAGAAATCAAATGCGACGTGTGCACATCACTCTCGAGTTACCCTGGAGCGCGGACAGAGCGATACAGCAATTCGGGCGGACGCACCGATCGAATCAAGTCAACGCGCCGGAATACATATTCCTTATATCGGATTTGGCAGGAGAGAGGCGATTCGCATCCATCGTTGCGAAGCGCTTAGAGAGTCTGGGCGCTTTAACGCACGGTGATCGTCGAGCGACGGAGACCCGAGATTTATCGCAATTCAATATCGACAACAAGTATGGTCGCGCGGCGCTCGAAACAACGATGAAAGCTATAATGGGGTGAGTAAGGATCAAAGTTTCAAACATCATGTAGGATGTAGGGGAAGTAAGGAAACTGATGGCGATGAAATTTACTTCATATGTTTGCGTATAGATATATCATATATATATATATATATATATGATGCATCTCTCTTTTCAAGCTTATTTTTACTTAACGTTTTTTTTTTACTCAACATGATCGCTGTCAACGTCACATGTGTAACTACCAGAGTGTTTACTGCCTAGAAAAAGCCGGAAAAACTTAGAATTCTCAAAGAATTGTTTATGCCTGAAGAAATTAAGGAATTTTCAGAGAATTTTCGTGAAAATCGGTGAATTTTAAATCATAGACCTTGTCTGCAAGCCATATTATTGCGTTGTTCATAGACAAATATCGCATGGTTGACTGAATTTTATTTAATGATATTTATTTAATTAATCTCTTACACGGCAACCCCGCCATACGGCGGGTCGGATGAAAAATATATTTAGAAACAGGTAATATTGATTTGATACCAATGATATCTTGGGGAGGGGGGAAGTTGAGGTTGCTGATCACTAAACTCAAAATTCAGAAATTCAAAATGGCAGGTCCATTATGGCGGACAAAAATGCAACAAGTAACTTGATTTGGATAAAATTTAATACTCGAGAGTTTTGGACGTCCTTGATCACGAATTTGAACTAAAAATTTGCAATTAGCAATCAAAAAACCTTCAAGATTGAATTTCATTGAAATTGAACTATTTTTATTTCTCTACCATTTAAGACACAAACAGTAAAATTTTGTTTGCCGCGTAAAAGATTAAGAGTTATAGAAAAAAGTTCCAAATCTTTCGATTTGATTTTTAATTAATTTTAATTAGTAAGAAGTAACGCACGTTATGTAAATCATAGATGTGTACTTATTAATATTCTCTCTCTCTCTCTCTCTCTCTCTCTGTATATATATACACGATCAGCGAGAATCATGTCGTGGACTTTTTCAACGATTTCCTCAGTAACCACGTTTGCCGGGCGGCCTGAGCGCTCATTAGAAACAGATGAACGATTACGTTTAAATTCGTCGAACCAATATCTGACGGTTGTCAGATATAAAATATTTATTTCTTCAAGATCTTACAGTTTCTTTCAATTTTTCAATTTTAATTATTGAAACTTGAATAATTTTTAATTTTTATTTTATGATTTATAAATTTTTATGAATGAAAAATATTAAGAGGTTCGTACAATAAATATATATTCATTTGCGAGATATATTTAAAAATACTTTCACTTTATCTGGAATTTTGAACAAATTATGTGAAAAATCAAGATATACTCGGATAATTTTTTCCGGATTTGACCTCTAAACAACGATAATTTTTCTTTTTAAATCCACATAAATAAACTATAACGGTGCAAAATTTTACACTGTTCCCGAATCCTCCATTCGGTTATAACCGAAGCGCTTTGCGCCACTATAAGGGTGAAATTACACGGTGCGTAATAGAACTGCGGAATAGAGAGTGCGTCAAAGAAGCAACCAATTAGCGCTATTCCACTCTTTTCTATGACGCAAGTTTTGTGTACTAATTAGTTGCTTCTATGACACACTCTCTATTCCACAGTTCTATTACGTCTAATTTCACCTTAACCGTCGGACATACGAGCATCACGAGCCAATGCGTGCGCGATTGTTGTAACGCTCGTGTTGCGTAACAACGGCGCGTATCTGGCTGCGCGAAAATCGAGTTAAATAGAGCACATCTTCAGGACAGAAGCTCCGATCCTCATCGATAGTCGACTGATCCGCTCACAGTGAAGAAAAAAAACTTACTTTTTAGGCAAAAATCTACCGACAATTTTTAACCAGTTTCAAAGGTTTTTTTTATTTACTTGTTAAACATTGCTTTATAACGCAATACTGCGGCGTTATTAAAACAAAACTGAAATTTAAAGTGGCGAATGGAAAATGAGTGTCGAACGCATTGAAATGCTCTCGAATAATACCTTTTGCCTATGATATTAAATGTATTTATATCAAAATGGGTATACATAGGTTTTTGGGTCGTTAAGTATTGATTTGAGATCAAACTTAAAATTAAAAAATCAAAATAACGTTTATTATGGAAGTCAAAAATACCGAAACTTTACAAATTCAACAAATATACAAAAAATAGTATTATGCACTTGGTACATTATTATTTTAAAATTTTTCATATTTTAATATTGAATTTTTAACGAGATAGCAAATTTTTATTATATTGATTTATAACTGTTTAGATAATAAAACAAAATTTAAGACCTTATACCGCGTCAAAGTATCTGCCATTATAAGGGTACTTTTTTTTTAAGTTTTATATGTTTTTGCATTTTTTCTTTTTCTTCTATTTATATTTTTACCTTTTATATTTTAAATATTACACACACACACACGCACGCACGCACACTAGTTCTATTTTTATATTAATGTTATATTAATGTTATGTTTGTCGAATTATTGCACATTGCATTAAAATTAGTCGTTGCGTGACTGAACTGAGATTTCTTATATCGAGTGTTAATTTAGTTGGTGTTTTTTTCTTTTTTTATCCTAATGTTATTTATTACAGAGTCAGATAAAATTAAAAGATAATGCATTATATCTTTGTTAGTGCATTTTCTTGATTTCATCGTACTGTAATGAGCTCGAGCTTTTCTGAAGATTTTATTATCTGCCTCTTGCGCTTCTTCTGAAAGCCAACCAATTGGTGAACCTATGTGTTTAATAATATCGCTACAATGTACTTTATGTTTATGTTAAAATTCAAGTAAATGAAGGGAATGAAGGTAACTATAAATTTGGACTTTTTATATTACATTGTTGGACTCATTTTATGGAATATTTATTACATATATGCATGTATAATTTAGATTTTAAAAAGAATTGTGCGTAGGGAAACGACAAAACTTTGAAAGCCAAAAGAAAAAAATCCAAAAATTTTTAAGTCAAAATTGTCACTGACTGTTGATGTGAAACAAAGCTCAGAAACAATAAATACTGGAAATACTGGTTGCTTGTTCTTTTTTTCCACAAGCAGAGTGTGGCAGAAATTACTGGGTTAGATAAAGATATAATAAAATGATTGGGTAACATTTTGCAGACAATGGCATGTGATAAAGATATTGTGACAAATTTGACAAATATTGTCTGGATATCGCGGAACTATGCCTCTATTTGTATCCCTGATACAGTATGCCATCATCCGTACATAAAGTTTTAGTACTTACTACTACCGTAAGGATATTTATATTGATAAAATTAAAGATATCTTTCATTTCGATCCGTGACATATTATTTTAAATTCAGATTCGAGGCGCCGCTGGTACCACCACCTCAGGATTACCACGGCGAGTTCTTCAAAGATGTGGCGGATGCGTTGGTGGGCGTCGGTTTGATTTGTAACAGTGAGAACTCGCCCGGCGTACTCACACTCGACAAGGACTACAACAACATGTCGAAGTTCCTTAATCGAATCCTCGGCATGCCGGTTGACCTACAGAATCGTCTCTTCAAGTATTTTACCGACACACTCAACGCCATCATAACGCAAGCGAAGAAAACCGGTCGCTTCGACATGGGCATTCTCGACCTGGGCACGTCAGGCGAGAACGTACGAAGAGTACGGCTATATCGATTTCTGCGGAAGCACGCCACCGGGAAGGCGCCAACAGAGTTGCACGTGGTGCATGTCGAACGTGGCATGAGCTGGTCCGAAGCCACGGACAAATTTTCGGAATTGACAGGGTCCAAAGAGGGCTTCTATCTGAGCCATCAAATCCGTAATGGAAAGCAGACCGCTATTCTTACTGTTATGGTGGACACCGGCAAGAAAAAATCCGAGAGCAAGAAGGATCAGATTTACATGGTGTACAGGTACAATCTTTTTTTGTTCTCATTGACTTAAACTACAAGCATATGACGGATATGACACGGCTTACGTCAAACATCCTGTATAACATTGTTTACAACAATAATTCTCTACATGATATATAACGTCAATAGTATTATAATGTCGGGAATGATTAAATCCGTTTATGCTATTCATATGACCTGATTATATGATTCTCTTGTAAACGTAGTCTGTATTACTAACTACGTTATGAGCTTTGCTCTTTAATTCTTGGTTTTTGCAACCTAATCATTTCGTATTATTAGGCCCAACACAGGACTACAGTTGCGACAGGAGACTCTAGGCGAATTGGAGAAGAAATACAAAAAGGTGAGTGCGGACGAGGCGGAACCTCACTGGACACAGCAATATGAGGCTTCGGTGAACACCTGTTCGCACGCCTATTGGAGCGGCAATTGTAAAAATACTACCATCGGTATGGATTGTGAGGTGGGGCTGAGAAGACGTTCCTATAATGTATTAGCCGGTTCCGTTCTGAGCGTATGGAGTCGCGTGGAAAACATACTCGCCTCACGATCTGGACATAATTCTAAGATGCAAGTTGTACGACTGCGGACGGGTAAATCGTTATGTTGTTCTGTCGATATTGATATTCCTATTGAGCTGAAAAATGACGATCTTGTTATTTTCGACAGATGAAGGATTAAAGATTGTCGGGACGCTTATTCCGAAAACTTGCATGGAAATGTTGCATCAAGCACTTTCCTCTGACTCAGAAAAGACGGAGGAACTGACATTTTGAATGTTGAATCGTATCGAAGGTAACATACCGTATCTGAAAGATTTCTCGACTATGTCAAGAATACCTGTCGATATGGTTACTTCGAAGGAACTATATAAATGTCTCATCCCTGAACACATGAGACGCCAATATATTTAATTACAAATCATATAAATCGTATTATACTTTTATAGGTGTGAATAGGACCAAACAAGGCTATTAGTGTGACGTAATCCGCTGCGACTGTAAGGAAATCCCCTTCCCGCGAATTCGAGAAGAGGAGAAAGAAGCACATTGCGCACGTGCCGTGTTAGTTGCCTAGAATTATCGGTGCACCAAGTAGATTCCAAACTGAATCTACTAGTCATCGACTGGTTCGTCGCCCGACTTCCGACGAACGAGTGAACGTTTCCGATCGACGCGCGAGCTGAAGAACTTAGGCTGCAATTTACAACTTAAATCTTTCTTACATGTCTGCGCGATCGTCCATCGTTTGCGGTTAATATAGCACTCAATACCATTGTAGATTTATAATTAGCTAGAGAGTCCTTTCTTATTATATCGTAAATATATATATATATATATATAGACGCCCTCACCGCTACGCCGAATACGATCAGAAGAAGAAGTTTATTTTTTACATCGTCGCCGTTAATTATCATATTTTCGCCTAAGATTCTGGCGGACGTAGCGTGTAGAGCGTATAGAAAATATATATCCTGCCGTTCCCTTTAAGATTCTTTCTTTCGATATATATTCGTGAAAGAATCTTAAGGAAGCAAGAAAAGTAAGTTTGCATCGAGTCTCCACGATAAAATGGAGAGTAAAGGAATGGCAAAGAACACGATTATATGTAGGAAATGAGAAATTTAATGGGCAATTCCGATCGCCAATATGAATTAAGAGACGCATTCGACTAACTTGAGTTAGCACTAACGATAGCGCTAATATTTAAGCAGCGTCGTTCTAACGAGTATCGATTGTCGCCGGTCGGAATAAGCGCCAGTCAGCCCAGATCGAACGTGATAGACGTCGATCGACGTAAGATTAACTAGACGATCGTCACAATCAATTCTCTTTGGAAGAAAATACAAATGTATACGCGACTATAGTTTCGTTTTTTGTTATATCGATCGTACGGAAGAGATGATCACACACAAACACACATACACATACATGCTATTGCTACCGTTACTACAACTACCATTATTGCTAATACTATATTAGTACTAAATTACTGCTAATACTATATTAGTACTAGTGTGCTACCGCTACAAAACTACTATTAATATTATCCCAGATGTGGGGAGACGAGGTAACATACGCTACGAACTTTTTCGAACTTGAGAGATGCGAATACAGAATAATCTACCGTGCAAGTGCTAAGTTATATCTTTTTCTTTACTTTTTTATTTTATCTCGACAAGATACGAAAAAAACGGAGAGAATTCGAGAGAAAGAAGTGTATTTTTCTCGTTTCAGCGTACCATGACAACTCGCAATCACGACTGCATCTTTCGCGTAATTTAATTTATTATTAATTAATTCACGAGAAAAAAAGAAAACACGATATTTGTGATATACATGCGAATTTTAATTTTACCAGATCAACATTTACGCATACATTACAAGAAAATACATTTACTAGAATATGTTAAGGTGGAATTGTGTAAAATTTTACATGATTTAATATAAAGCGACTAAAATATTCTACTTTCTGATTTATTTTTTGTTACATCGCGTGGTTATACTTATATACGTATGCTTGAACAATAGCACATCTTTAGCGAGATATTTCTCGGAATTCGTATGCTCACGACACATAACGCTACACCTCGTCTCTCGACGATCGCTAACTTATAACTTCTAGTTAGTCTTAAAACAAAAAAGAAAAAAAGAATTAGATTGAGATAGAATACTTACACAACCGTTATATTTATATTCAGATGCATACACATTAGTAACCAGTGCGGCCTGCGTGTATATTGGATAGATGTCTGTTCTAAGTTTGTACGCGTGTGCGTGAGCAAGTTAACGAGTGAACAAGTACCGCTGAGTTTCGTATGAATGAAGGAATGGATCATGGGCCTCGCAATTTATCTTCTATGATAATGAATAAAACGTCAAAGAGCGTAGAGAAGTCAGTCGATTATAGAACTTCGACCCGTGATTAGTCCTTATTTAGTGATCTAATTCTAGGTACGTGTGACGCGTCTACGTATAAAGAAGAAAAGAAAGAGATTCATCATCACTTACCTGTTTTCCACGGTTATCCATGTTTGAGCGAAGAATCGCTGTTGTGACAATTGTCAACGCACGACGGTGAATCTCCGCGGATAACAACTATATATTGCATCTATACAAAAGAGATTGAAAGAAGGAGGAAAGCAACATCTGATTGTAAAATAATATTTAGACAATGTATAAATGCAGTAGAACGCATCCGTCGAATTCCGTTTCGCAACGTTGAAAGCGAAGAGATTTATGTAAAAGAGAGAAGTGCTCGTAATTCTTAATATTCGCGCAAGATTCGATCGTACGTATCATTCTTTCATCCGGGGGTTTTCATGAATCCCTTCCTTCAACGTGAATCCGCGAAGATGCAAGTTTCCTAGATTGAATTGAGATTTGGAATTTGGTTCACTCTTTAAAAGTTCGCACCAGAGGAAAAGATTCATGGTCGTCCCCTGCTAACGTTCTCATTTGTGACGCTTGATACCGAGGTTAAATTCGTCTTGTACGCTTGCATTCGTGCTGAAAGCACGAATCATTCTATTTTGATTTCTCATTATATGCTAAAGGAAGATAGAATGATATTTTCAGTACGAAAGCATATAGAACGAATTTTGCCTAATCGTTAACTATGTTACATTTCCACGCGAGGAATGAATATTTTCTAATTCGGCGTCGCGGTGAACGATTAAGCTGTACGTCAAGGTGCACAAAATCGTCATTGAAATTCGGCCGCAAAAATGTTCAAAAGGTATAATGCTATCGTATATACGAGGACGAGTAAAGTATAAATATTAGAGGCTGAAAAACGGAGCGTGCTTCGTATAAAAACAGCACGCGTGTTGTATTGGATATTTTTACAATTAATCTCGCTTGAGTTCCTATTTGCTGGCGTGGTATCGTAAATGCGGTATCTAGTTGCACGTGGAAACAGGCGTCACGCTTTCTTAGTGAGACGATTCCTTTTTCGTAATGTGCTGTGTTCTCATGGATTCACGAACGTTTTCGTGAACGAGTGTGCGTGTATATATACATGTATAAATGTCTCTGTGTATGTAAAATTAATAATTCTTATCCAAACGACGACGATGTTCCCTCCATCATCCCCATCGCGGCCCGGAAACTTTTCTCAATTTTCGTTCCCTCAGAGTTGATCTATCAAAATGCTTTCTCGTTTGAGAACTCGACGACTGATCGGTCTTCTTTTTTTTTTTATTCATGTTATTTCGAAATGTGTTGCGTGGTGCAAATCGTAAAAAAGAAAATTAGTTTATACAAGTACGAAATACAATGGTTTTATCGCAAAGTGTGCACATTATTTTGATAACAGTTACGCGTTCGCTAAAAAGGAGACTCCTGTAATTGATATAAACGAGATGTAGGTAAATTGTAGCTCGAGATTTTTTCTCCTCTTTATCGAAGGTTGAGAGTCGGATCATTGATACAAAAAAAAAGGAAATTACATATACTTTAACGTTTATTAAGTTAACATGTCAAATGTGGACTGACCCTTCGCTTATATCACGTGTCCACGCTTTTTATCTCGGTATAAAAAAACTGTACAGATAAACTTTCTTCACTTCGATTGCAAGTAGGTGGAGAAGAAGCGAAGGGGGAAAAGGGAGAGAAAAGAGGAATCCTACTCGACATTCACGCGATATACGCACATATACAACCTCGCTCATCCTAAATAGCTAAAATACTCTACGTGCTTATTATCATCTTGAGATACTTCTAAAAATGTATATATATTCCCATGAGTGTTATTTGAGGAGGATGGAAGTATTGGTATTGTTTTTCATTAGTATCCGTATGCCTGATGGGTTCTAATGGAAGGCATACAGAAGCATCAGAAACGTGCAAACTCCGATGACGAGGCCAAGTATAACGGAATCTCTTCTTTTACGTAGATTTATCCTTTGCAGCAGACTATTCACCGCCGGGAATCGATTTGAGATGTCGTTGAATCTGGTTCGTATACGTTTGAACGCCTGTCTTTGCGTCATTAGGTGATCTCGTGTCTCCATTGCTATGCTTATCTGATCATTGATCAATCGGTCCGAGCTAAAAGCGCGGTAACCGTAAAATGTAGATAAAAGATCGTTATGCAAAACACACACGATAACAAAATATATAATGAAATGTGTATCTTGACTAATTATAGTTAAAGTGATATTAGCCGAAATAACATTACAACAGTATTTACTATAGCATATCCGAAACTCACTTATGAATATGTTGATTTTCCTTAAGATACATCTCTCGTCGATTCAGTCCGCTAGCGCTCTTGTAATTGCTGTAAAAATTCAACGTAAAATAGACATGATTTTCATTGGTACAAAAAACTGCTTGATCGTGTTCCAAAATATAATATTTAGATAGAAACAATAACAAACAATTATACGTACTCTATTTCCTTGCGAACGCTGCCCAGGAGATCTTCGCGGTCTTTCCTAGCCGCAAAATTATTCCTAATTTTATTGAATTCTAGTTTATAGTCCTTCAATATCTCTTTATGACGTTGCATCGTATGTAACATTGCTGCTCCATTTGGCTGTAACTCACTCATCCTCTCATTTATAGAGAATAACTGCAGATATGAATGTTAATTAATTGACTTATCTAAAAGAGGAAATAAAAGAATATGGAAAGGGTTTACTTTAGAGAGCAATGTCTCTATTTCCGAGGCCATGTTTTCGAACACGTGCTCCTCATCCAAGAGGGGTACTTCGTCTGAGTTGACATGTCTAGCGCCGGCATTTATGCCTAGTTTGCTAAATGCCACTAACTTAGCATCGATTTCATTCTCCAGGTGTCTCGCCTGCTTTCTCAGATCTACAACATTATACAGGGTGTCTGTCGTTAAGTGTTTCATTCATTATATACTTGTACTATATTTCAGGTCAATCTGAACAAAAAAGTTCCGTACCACTTTGTAAACATGCAAAATTTCGAGTTATTAATTATTGAAAATGGCCACGTATAAGAGATTTTTTAAATTAATAACTCAAAAATTTGCATGGTTATGTGCAAAATGGTGAAGGATGTTTATTCAAAATGGTTTAATTGGCCAAGTATATGACAGCTGTTATACTTAGCGACAGACATCAGTATATCAAACCTTGAACCCTAGACCTAGTCGCTAGGTATAACAGCTGTCATATGTTTGTAGATTAGGCCATTCTGAACAAAAAAGTCCTTTATCATTTTGCAAATAATCACACAAATTTTTAAATTATAGATTGAAGAAGCCTTTATATATAGCCATATTCAATAATTAACTCAAAAATGTGCAAAATAGTGGAGGACTTTCTTATTCTCCTTGACCTAAATTACAAATATATGACAGATGAGACACTTAGCAACAGACATCCTATATAAATGAAAAATATCTATTTATGAAATTTCTTGTATTCAGTTGTATTTGTTTAAATGATGATAACTAAATGATGATAACTGTATTATGTAGAAAAAGTAGCTTAGTAAATATTTTGTTCCGCACTGCTCATCTTTTTCACTAAAGGATACCTAGTGGTTTCTGCTTTTCCAATATATTTATTAAGTAGTGCTGCATATTGAAAATACGCTAAAAAAAATGACAACTGCTTAATAAATATGTTGAGAAAATGCAAATCAATATTGGTTAGTAGAAAATTTTAGAACAGTTGCAAAACTGCTGGCAGCATAATATAAATAAAGTACTTGTTTTTATAGCTGCTTTTGCTGCAAAATACAATCTATGTATATACCCTGATTACATATGCTGCTTATAAATTTATTTATTTATTATTGTGATTAAAACAATTTATTATATTTTAAATCTAAGCTTGATTTCTTCAAATTCAGACCAATATATATATATATATATATACAAACCTAATAAAACCTTAACGCATAAAGCTATATTACTTTAAAGCTTTCCATAAGAGATATATAATATGCTCTAGAATGATATAACTTCATATGTTAAGGCTAATATACTAGCCTATGTACAATTTCTAACTTTATAGGTGCATCAGTTGAAGGTTGAAAATAGTACAACTTCAGTTATAAAACTCTGCTCTACAATTTATTTATGGAAAAGAGATAGAGAGCAAGAAACAAGAAATAAAGAGTATATTGCAGATAAAGCTTAAGGAATATCAAGAAACAAAGAAACTCATGTTTTACAGTGAGAAAGTAAACGGGAGGAATGTAAGAATGCTGTTTATAAAGAACAATACCTCTTATAAGCATGCGGTACTTTGCGATATTGACACAACGAAGCATATGACATTGTAAGCATATCGTAAACATAGTGAAAGCTCAAATGACAGTACAAGTAATGCAAGCATCCGAAATACATAAAGAAAAGATATATTCCAATCGTTTGGAAAACAACCTAGACATCTTTTCTCATGCCGTTTGACAGTTGCTGTTTGGTAAACAATAGAGCGAACTCTTTTTCTTATTTGCCTAATGGTACGTCTTGAAATTCTTTAAACAATATATATGTACCTTCCCAATCGATTGCGCCCAACGAGCTAGCCATTTATCGCGAATCACAGATCACTTTCGAATTTATCACCACATAAACATTTCTTTATATTCGTCATCGATATTCAGAATGCACGATGAAGGTTTTCCCACATATGAGGTTTGTTCTTTATAGCTGAACTCGAATTGCACGAGGACTGAACCAGTGCAAACGAGAACTGACGAGTACAAAGCGTACAGATAAAGAATAAAGATGCAATTTTATGGTAGCGTCGAACGTCAGAGCCAATCAGCAGATAATGGATTGCATACACGCAAATTATCGCCCTTTATCGCCCTATTATCTTGTTTTAGTATTTTTTAGACCGCGCGGTCTAGTTATTATACGCCTAGTGGCCTCTGCCTACAGGATGTGGCAACATTTGCCGCGTGGTAGCCAATTAACATTTTTCTACGAGAACTAAGATTGACTTCCTATGTGGCGTAACTTGCATAAGCGTAACTTGTATCAGTCAATCAAGAAGGAACCAAATGAAGATTTGATTGGCTGACATAAGTTATGCTTACGCTAGTTACGCAGCATGTGAAAGCACCTTTATGGGTTAAACCGTGTCCATAGTCTATTGGTGTGCATATATGGTGTGGGTTTTCGAATGCAACCTGAGCAAATTTCATTGGCCGCATTCAGCAGAACGTTCAGTTTGTAACTGTTGGAAATTTCCTGTGCTGACATTGGATTATTCCTGTAGATCTAAAAGAATAATCCAATCTCAATTCAGAAAACTTCCAACAGATGCAAATTAAATGTTCTGAACGTGGCCGTTGATGCCAATGCCTGTGATGATGGTGGCAAGTGGCCGATGGCATCAATTTATTGATTTCTCGCGAATGTACTCGACACACATGTATTTGACAGTTGTTGACTCGAGTTTTGCGGAGGTATTTCGGATTATGGCGATTCAGTTGAATTCTGCAACGGTTTGAACCACGAAATTAATGGTCGTTCACTCGTAAAAATTTGATTGAACGGGAGAGACATGCTAGCGCAGAAGAACGTATAGGTTAAAAGTGCTTCATCTTGCTAACGAGATATCATTCCGTACCGTCCTGTGAACATACGAATATGGATAACGTTGTGGCTGCAGAGTGTCTGGCGATGGATTTCGGACCATTTGAGACGGTGCATCGATGGCAACGTATGCCAGAATGTGACGAATTCGTCGGTGCTAGGTAAATCAGAAAAGTTAATAAGAAATAATATAATTTTCATTTGTTTTTAATTCCAGTAATTTTGTATTTATTGTATATTTTAATATCTGTATGTATATTTTTACATCCTCTGTTTTTTATTGAATTATGAAACACAAATCAAGGATAAATAAGGTCTATTTTGAGAACATGACAGTACTGCTTTGAGTATTGAGTCGAGTCAGTAAAATGGTCATTAATATTACAGACAGTTTGATTAATAACTTGCTTTTCAGACGCAGCAAACACACTATTGTGGCATATAAGGATGCGATTTATGTCTTTGGTGGTGACAATGGTAAAAAGATGTTGAATGATTTGTTGCGCTTTGATGTGAAGGAAAAATCCTGGGGACGAGCATTTGCAACTGGAGTTCCACCAGCACCACGTTATCACCATTCTGCAGTTGTTCATGGCTCGTCGATGTTTGTCTTTGGTGGTTATACTGGGGACATACATTCCAATTCCAATCTCAGTAACAAAAATGATCTGTTCGAGTATAATTTTCAAACTGGTCAATGGGTAGAATGGAAGTTTTCAGGAATGTAAGTATTATACTTGTAAGTATTTAGCATTTACAAGTATATGATGTACATTTATAAATATATAGTATATAAATAGTAAGCAAATTGATGACAGACTCTGCACAGATTGGCAGCAAATTTTATCAGAATTTTACACCAAAACCATAGTTGTCCATGTTTGCATTAAGCTTATGTTTTAGTGACGGAACCTGCTGATAGATGATGCAAGCAGATTGACAGGAGAAACTATGCAGAGCCTGCTGCTAAATTGCCTGCAACAAAATATGGTCAGTTTCTGCCACCAATCTGCAATCAGATCGTTGCAAGCTCCGCTTAGTTTCTGCTGTTAAGCTATTTGCATTGCGTAGGCTCTGTTGCATTTGAGGCAGCAATTTGGCAACACAGTTTTGCACACAACTTTAGTAGGTACCGTAGTATTGTAAAAAAAATCAGTGGTTATATTACACGAGAAAATACATAATACCTATCAAAGAGTAACGCGACAATTTGTTATCACTTATCGCTGAAAGTCAATTGAGTGAGTAATAAACATAGAACTGCTGATATTTAGAATCGATTACGTGTGTTTATAAACATAGAGGATTTTATGATGAAATTGTAACTATCATAGAATTGATCTTTAAAATTTTTAATATACTTTGACGTTTTCGATTTTTTCTACAAAAAACATCATGTCTCCTGATGAATTCGCGTTATAGGAAATCTGTATGGGAATTCTTCTCGTATAACGCGTATAATCTAAAGTACCATGTTTGAAATGATTATTGCTATGCCAACTAAAAAATCTTTTATTTCGTTGAAATTTAGTAAAAATATAATTATACAGATTTATGCATTGTTTTTTATAATTTTAAAAATTGAAAAATACTTTTCCTTATCGTTATATTAACCCTTATCGGTCGTAAGTCCCCTCTCACGTGACAACAATACTTCGTCGCTGCGGTCGTACGTCACGTAGGAGGTGACAAGTTCGCATATTTACCGAAACCAGCTACAACCTAGTGAGAATCACGCATAAAAAGCTAGCGTCCGATAAGGGTTAAGAGTGACCGCGTCAAAAAACCAAACAACGATGAAACAAGAAGTCAGCACGTTGTAGGAAGAATCACGTTATTTGAAAACAGCAGTAGCAATATCTTTAGCGCGAGTTTATTGCACAAATATCTTTTTATAACTTATTTTGTTGATTACTACAAAAAGAAAAATGATTGATTACTACAAAAAGAAAAACAGTTTTTGGTAGAGAAATACTTCCAAACATTTACCATGACAACTAGTATTAAGAAATGTTAATATACTTTTAGGACACCAGTGGCTAGGTCGGCTCATGGTGCTGCTGTATATGAGAATAAGTTATGGATTTTTGCAGGCTATGATGGCAATGCAAGATTAAATGATATGTGGACAATATCACTGTTGGTAAGATATTTCATACTTTATTATTGTTTATAACACTTTGAAACTTTAATATGAGGGATCAGACAATATGGAAATCCTTTGTATAAACCTTAATTTCATTAAATTTTACATATGCCATCAGCCTGGCGAGCCAAGAGTGTGGGAGAAAGTTGTTCAGTCCGGCGAGTGTCCACCGACATGTTGCAATTTCCCCGTCGCGGTAGCCCGAGAATCTATGTTTGTTTTTAGCGGCCAGAGTGGTGCAAAGATAACTAATAGCCTTTTTCAATTTCACTTTAGAGAGAGGCGGTAAATGTTACATTTGTGCGACAATATATTCTGCGTTATAATTCGCGATTTTGCATCTTTTAGACATGTAATTATATTTCTCCCCTTTTTATTTTTACTTTCTTTTTTTAGATGGACACGTATATCGACGGAGCATATATTACGTGGCGCGCCGCCACCCCCGGCACGACGATATGGTCATACAATGGTCAGCTTCGACCGACATCTTTATGTTTTCGGCGGCGCGGCCGAAACGTCTCTATCTAATGATCTTCACTGCTACGATTTAGACACGCAAATGTGGAACGTCGTTTTACCATCCGCTGACAGCCAGGTAAGCGGCCTGTAATGTGTTCGCGATTTTTACATTAACCGATACTTTATTGTTATAGCACATATTAATGATATACAAAGATGAATTGTCTAATTCTGTAGCTTGTGATAATTTTTTATCACAAATAAAAGCTAAAAGTTGGAAATTGTAAAAAGCTTTTTTTCACATATTTATAATATATTTTATTTCTAATATAATATTTTGTACACAGTATCGGTGATCAAAGTTTGAAGAATTATTTTAATTTACAAAATTAGATAACTCACCTTGCGTATGTTGTATGCTCATGCAGGTGCCGTCCGGTCGACTTTTCCACGCCGCAGCTGTGATCGGAGAAGCGATGTTCATCTTTGGCGGAACCGTGGACAATAATGTACGATCCGCTGAGACATATCGCTTCCATTTCTCATCATATCCCAAGTGCACTTTACACGACGATTTCGGTAGACTCTTGAACAATCGCCTCTTCTGCGACGTGGAGTTTATAGTGAGCGAGTTAGAGATCAAAATACCAGCGCACATTGCCATGGTAGCTGCACGCTCACAATTTCTCCGGACTCTTATTCGAGAGGCACGTGAAAAACGAGCAATGCATTTGGAAGAGGTGTTTGGTACCGCTGATGTACCCATTAAAGATTTGCCATTGCTAGAGGTAAAGTTCGATTGCAAGTTGGAATCACGTGTCTCTATTTCGACTAACTTCAACTTCAACTTCTAACGAGGGAACGGTACGACGTTTGGCTCACTAATTTTGTTTAAATTCGGTGAGTATACATCCCCGATAACTGACATGCGCCAAATAATAAGATGCACTACTCAAAAATAAGCGAAAAAATCGAAATTATAAATTCTGCAGTCACGTAAGTTCTTTAATTATTAATTCTTAATTAATACTTGTGCTGTATATAAAATGTCTAGTAGCCCGGCGACGGCATAACTAAACTCATAAACCTGTATTCTGAATTTTCTTTTATCGATAAAAGTACCTCTTTAAGTGGCTTAGGAACCATCTGATTGGCTGAGAAGGCACATTTATTGATAAAAGAAAGTTCAGAATACGAGCAATAATATCTAAAATGTCAATTCGTATCTTGGTATGTCTTTTCTTTCTTTTTTTTGTTAATCTTGTTCAATTGCTTATAATCATTGTTAAAATATATATTTGTCCGAAATTAATTTCTTTTTCTTGAAACGCAAATTGTCTTCTGAGATAATATCTTCTCAGTTCATTTACATCGTTGCCATAATTTTGTGTAGACTGTCACTTGCCGAAAGTTGAGATCGCGTGAGAACTGAACGAACGAGTGACGATGTGCTTGGTCCCTTTTTAAGAACATCTGCAGCTAAATATATATATTTATATATAAATATATAAATATATATAATATATATAATATATATATAAAATACATAATATATATGTATATATAATTATTTACTATATTATTATATAATTATTATATAATAAATAAATATATATATATATATATATATATA